CACGCCCCACCCCTGCACCCCCATCCCCACCCCACCCTTGACTTTGTGACTTCTATTTACAAATGAAAAACCCCATCCATCTTACATAACACATCTGGGCTGGTAGAGAAATCATATCTCATTGAGTGTGAGTGACCTATAATTCTTACACTCAGGTGTGCCGAGGTAAGGGCCACTGCATTTCCTTTGTACCTGGTTTTGGGTCAGAATGGACCCAGATTTCTTGGAATGGGCTTTTCACTCTTAATTTCTTTTTACACACTACATAGGAATATCAAGTAGGGCTTTCTCTTTCTCAGCTGTCAGAAATGCTTGGATTTCTTCCTCAAAGTTAGCTGTTCTTCTCAGCCCTTGAATGCACATCACACTTAGGCCATTTCTGGTCCTCATTCAAGGCAATGACCCCACTGTGGACCAAGGCATTCTACAACAAGCTGAGTCCCCTCAGGGTTTTACTGTGGGTAAAAACAGAAGCTAGGTCCTCACAACAGGCAGTAATTAGCTCATAGGCCTCCAATCCAAGAGTCTCTGAACTTTGAAATGTATAGTGGACATTTAAAAAATCCAGGGGCTGGGGATTTAGCTCAGTGGTAGAGCACTTGCCTAGCAAGCGCAAGGCCCTGGGTTCGGTCCTCAGCTCTGAAAAAAAAAAATCCCCTCATTCTAGTTAGATGTTCTGCTTCTTCAAGGAAATGTATGAACTAAGGAAATAAGCTATTAAAGAAAATCACTTAGAAATGCAGTAAAATGCAACCAGAAGTTGTATTATCATATTGGGGTTTTTTCCAAGTTTTATTATATTATATGGCTCTTATAAATTTAATATCTTATTCTTCAAATTTTCAGTTATATAATTCATCCTTGAAAACATGTTCATAAAATTTAATGTAGGCTCCAAATGCTATATTTGCTTATTATCTATTACATGTCACTTAATTTAAATCTGCTACAAAGTGGATCTTAAATTCTGTTCATTATTTCCACTTTAGTTTTCCTTTCATTGAATGAATTTGTTTAATTCTATTTATCTTATCATTATTTTTACATTTATTTATGGGAGGACATGGAAGTCAGAGGACAACTTGAAGGAGTTGGTTCTTTCCTTCTACCATATGGGTCCAGAAATTGAACTCAGGTTGTCAGGCTTGGTGGCAGGCACTTTTGCCCACCAAGCCATCTCACCTGCCCAGTTATTCTTTCTTTAACTGATAACATAAAAACACAAAAATTATACAAAAAAGGAAACATGCTCATAAAGATTAAAGCATTTTGAATAAAGGCAGAAAATTCCTTCATTCCTTGCTAGTCCTAAATACTCCACTTGCTTCCCTAAAGTAATCATTTCTGTTACCCAATCCTCTATTTTTAGATATTTAGATATTTTCCATTAAAAAAAATATTACTACCATGAACAGTTTTGTTTATGTGGCCTTTTAATATACAAATACTTCTTTAGGAATGGATTCATAGAAATGCAATTTCTACGTTTAAAAAAAGTTTTTTTTTTAAATTTTGATAGATACTGCCAAATTATCACTTGGAAAGATTTTCATTTATACTCACTTGTGCCTACAGAATGGGGTAATTACTAAAAAATAATTTTGAAGCGATCAACATGAGTCTTTGAGAAGCAGGACTAACAAACTACCAGAATGTTTTTCTTCCTCTCAGTTTATGACCTGTCAAGAGTCACTTTCATGGGATTGGGCTCCCCACTCCCTTCCAAAGGGCTGGATGATAGCATGAGCTGTGGGGCCTCTCACCCTACTTTCTCTCTCTAGAACCCTTTCTGCATATTTCTGGAACTCCAAAGACTTCACTTTTTCTGTGACACAATGATGAGCTAATATTGTTTATTGTATAGCTTTGTAGGTTTCTTTAACCAAGTTCTACGTGTTTGAATAAAGGAAGTCACTCAGTCTTTCATAAATTAGGATCTAACTTTTCTCCTAAAATTGAAGTATCATTAGTTTATTTAAAATGTTTTTAAAATGGCTTTAAATTTCTGAAATGCAGTTATCTTTATGTGCCGCAATAACTAAAGATGCATTTCTCTTTTCTATAGATTGGAATCCAAAAAATTATTGCAAACACATGGATTGTTTTTCAACCTCTTCTTTTTGGCTTAGTTGGAACAGAACTATCTGTTGAATCTCTTGAATCAAATACTATTGGTAAGATTACTTAAAGCACAGAAGATGCTGGGTGTGGTGGCGCATTCCTTTAATCCCAGCAAAGGCAGGCAGCAGAGGAGGCAGAGGCAGGTGGATCTCTGTGAGTTCGAGGCCAGCCTGGTCTACGTAGTGAG